CAATCACAAAGGGAGTTTCTCATATATAACCTGTGCCCTCTTGGCTGACTCACCCAGCCACTTTCATCCTCTTTAAATTATTTTTCCATCATCAAAAGACCTCCACCACTGATTCATCAATATAATTCCCCATACACCCATACAATCATGAGCTCAGGAGAAGGTCAGCAGTACTAGTCTTTTCCAACTTGACAAATGACAATGGCTGACTTGTGGTTGATGTATATTTAAAACTTATTTCCTTCTCTCACGCTAATTTCTGGTACCTACTTTCTCATGATTCTTCTCATGAACTCAAATGTCCCCCATCTTTATAATCAAATTTGGGATGCTGTCATGACCTCAATACCTGGGATTTTTCACCTGTTGCTCTGGCTTGTCTTTTTCATATACATATCTCTGTCTCTTCCCTGGTACCGTCCAAATATACATATACATATCTTTCAATGGGTCCTTTTTTCCTTACTTTCTTATTGAATCCCAAACTCAATTCTTTCTCCGTCTGCCTTCAATCATTCCTATCTGACTTGGCTCTCATTGTTTGTGTATTTCTGTTCACTTTGACTTCTACCTTTTCCATCTGACATTTCTCACAATCATCCCTGCTTCATTTCCATGTCCCATCTCTCTTTTGGTGCATTTTTTTTCTGATTGCATCCCCTCCCTCCCACCTGCTTGATGATGATGATCATCTTACCACTGCCCAGCAGGCGCCCCAGCAGGACCTGCACCCAGGGATCCACTGATGGATTGTCTTCATGGTTTGTTTTTGACCCACCTATCTATATATATTTGACAAGAGGGTGGTCAATAACATGTTCATTATTTCATTCAGGCCATCAGACAGAAGATGAAGGCTTGACTTTTGAGCAAACAGCTGCAGCCAAGTATCAGAGGATGCAGGACGGGCAGAGGAAGGCTGCTGACAGACAGCAAAAGGCTGAAGAATCACGCTTAAGAAAATCACCCAAAACTGAAGCTCCGCCAGGCCTCACTGCAGCTATTCATGAGTGGGCCAGGGCACTACTGGGCCTCCCCCGCCAGTCCACTTCCCCCTCCTCCTCTCAAGTTGATGTCAGTCAAATCACCAAGCACCACCTGCCAGCACCAGCCAAAATTACTGAAGTGGAAGCCTGGAATTCTCACAACAAGAATCGTGAGGATTTTATAGAGTACGAAATCAAACAAAAGATGGCTCAGAAGCTTGCCACCAACCCTAAAGCATCCAATACTTACAAAGCAGAGCTCAAGAAAATAGTCACCAAGGAGGTAGTTGCGGAATGGGTAGGTCTTTGCAAAAGGTACGCATTGTCAAGCTTGTCCATGGTAAAATGAGCCTTTTCCGTAAATTGATTCTCAGACAGTTGTACGGACTAAGGAGGGGATGAGACTAGTATCCTATTTGGATAATTGAAGACGTCATCATCTCGTGGAGTTCCGCGGAGGAAAGAGAACTATAAGGTAGAGTCATCTTCTCTCTACACACGAGTTTAGTCCTCTCGTCCACTTTCCTAGTTATCATTTTACAATCTCAATTATTCTCTTTAACTTTCTATTTCTTTCTTTACTCTCGAAAGAATAAGCTTCCTTTCAAATTCCATCCCGCCCACCCTACATTCTCAGTGAGAACCGGTACGGGACACCGGCTCTGCCTCTTATCTCTTCCTAGGTAATCACGCCCCTGGAGAAAATTTAATGAAGAAGATTAATAAGTCTCCATCAAATTTCCTTCAAGGATCAGTATGATTACCAAAACTGGCCCCATTCGTGACTTTCAGATCACAATGGGGCCTCTAGCCCTCACTGCTCCCGCCTAGATCACCACTAAGTTGATATAGGCGTGGAGCCTTATTCTAGAGAAAGAGAAAAGAAGTAATGAAGTTTAATAAATGGACCAACAGGGCCCCTAAAAAAGGATTCATGTCCAGGGTTGCTCTTGCCACTACTTCTGTGCAGAGTTATGAACCAAGTAGATTAGCTCTAGCAGAAGCTTCTCTGGCGGCTGCCGGATTCCCACGTTTGACACTCCAATGGAATAATACTATCAACACTCCTTGGAACTCGGCTGTACTCAACTGTCTTCTGGCGGCTTGGCTAGAGTGTTATAATGCCAGAGGAGTCCCTGCCTACTATGATATCCCACAGTCTGACGAAACCCCCAAGCTGGCCAAAGAATCCTCACCAAGTGGCTAAGTGGCAAGCGTGCCAAATATAGTCAGGAGGAAAAAGACAAGGCACTCATAGCAACCCCGGGCGGAGCTGAAAAATATGCTAAGAGGCTGCTTGAATCTAAGGACAGGAAAGCTATGAAGGCCTTAAGGACAAAAGTAATGATTTCCGCTGCTTCTCTGATTCTGACTGAACTGAGAACTGACCAATGAAAACCTTAGGTTGCTCAATCACGCTTACAAGCCATTTCGAAACACATCAAAGGCTTCACGGACACCCATCAACTACTCCTAGTAATGGACGAAGTGCATTCAGACACTGAGACGGTCCCTGCAACCCCAGCAAAGCCGGCACATCAACGTCGGATCAAGCTAGCTTGGAGAAAGCCAGAGCTGGATCAATTGATTCACCTTGCTGACGAAATGGCCAGAAAGAACCCAGACTCAACAAAGGCCCAGAAGACCAATGTGGCCAAGTTTCAGGCAGCCAGGGCTGAATCCTCACCTGCTGCTGTCAATCCGGAAGACCAACTCCCACCACAGTGATTTCCCAAGTGCTTAATTAGAGAAGAATTTCTGAATCAACTTGGGGAGCTGGAAGTTGAGGGCCTGGAGTTGTCTGAGAAGCACATTGAGCTCCAAACCCTCAATGAGCATTTGATGAGAAAGGTTGGAAACAAGTACGCAATGGCAGTTGCATCATAGGAATTTCCAAAGGTTATTCATTGAATCATATCAATTGTTATCAAAAAAATCTATTTTCTTTCAAGGTTTTGTGAAGGGTATTTTATAGAATCATCTCAATCATTATCAAATCATATTTCTCTTTTTTTTACTTGTATATTGGAAAAATCTCAGGAGGTGCAAAATGCTGTAAAAAAAACATCTCTTTCTTTGGTGTTGGACAAAAATATATACAAAATATCATATCCTGTTTTATATTGAGTGTTTACTTGTTTCATATGTTTATTGGGTATTGGGCTTAAATCTGTTCAATTTTTTTAATGATTCTTTTATATATATTTTTTGTTGTTGAATCAAACGGTATCATAAGTTGAACAAAAAGACCTGTAAAAATGTCATTTCTTTCTTGTGCTTGTGTCAGAAAAAGTCAAACACCGAAACATATTTCTCATGTATGTCAAGACCTTGCCCATCCATGCTTACCGCACCAAGTGGTTTTGACTTGTCCCCTAGTACATCTGCACAATATTTGAATCACATCTGAACTAGAACCACTGGATTCATCAAGGACACAAAGTGGGGTCAGAAGCCTGACATTTGATGTTTTTGAGAGTGTCACAGCTTGGAAATGTCCTCAACAAGTGCAGAAGCCTTTGGAAGAAGCAGGAAAGTAGGGGTAGAGGTATAAATGTGTCTCAGGCTGCACTCCTCTTTCCTGGCCTCCTCCTTCTTAACCATCACTTTCTCTTGTTTCATCAACATCACCTCAGATCATTCTCCATCAAATCAAACAAGGACAAATTGTAATCTTGTGTATCAACACACATTTAAATGGGTAGGACCTCTTCAGTTCTTCTGGTTCAAAAGCTGCAAACTCATGACTCCACTTTACAATCTCAGCATCTCCCACTCATAAACGCTCAAGTGGTTGGGTGAATGGAGCACCACCAAAGAGCCGCAAAGCAAAGAACAAGGCTCTGAGCGCTCACCTCCCGGGTCATAACCAGCCAATCTGTAAATCATATTCTGAATTTGCGAGATTTATACTTGGATACACCAAAACACACCAAGTTTATCCTGATTCACCTGGCGATGATCAACTTATGAATCTTCCAACTCTGACTATGGAAATGATCTTACAAGATACCTCAGTCTTCACCACCTATAATGCTTCAGCCCATTCAGTTAAATCTGATTGGTCACCGTTCAAGACTCTGCTGCTCAAAGACCTGGCCAATCATCAAATAGATGATAGTTTCACCTTTGAATGGGAAGCGGACAACGGTGAAAAAAGTACATGGAATCAGACAATGATTTTTTTTACTGTAAAGCATTGGAAGTTTGCCAAAGCTGCTTCTGCTTTTGAGAATTTTGGACTGGATCAAGACAACCCTACTGACCTTGTCCAAGTTGGGATCATGACTCGCTGGGTGATTGGGCGGATTGAAGAAATCAAGAGAAGATTTCGAGATCCATCCAAGGTTGAACAAAGGACCCGGAGCAAAAAGAGAAGAGATGTAAGTCATGTTTATGCCTTTAGGCATTCTCCAGTCCTTTTCTGATAATATGTCTACTCAGCTCTGGAAATACCGTAAAGCCACTCTTCAGCAACATCTTCCGCAATTTCTTGACCTCCTACCCGATGCAGACTGCTGTTCTGATACAGAAGACGACCCACATCAACCCATCCAGAAGTCGATTTGTCCGGCATGGTGTAGCGTCAAGTATGGCAACTGGCTACATGAAGTGGACCGGCTATCCTATCAAGATCAATCCACTATCAAGCTGAGGATTCATCCCGCCCGCAGATTAGATACTAGGCGTCAAGAAGGCCATACAGTCAACCCCTTTGGAACTGTCTGTGCTAACCTTCCAGAAAACTGTTATGAAAGTGCTTTCTTGAAGCACTATGACCCCCTTGAAAAACTGGCCCTGGGGATATCACCCAGCTCTGCAAAACTTGATGATGCTCTGACTGCAATTGCTACACTTCTTCCCAATTGACTTCATATTAATTCAGGCTGCGTATTTGATCTATGATGTCATTATACAAGAACACACCACTGGTTCTTATGTGTCAGGTCTTTTCACCAAGTATAACAAATTTGAGAAGAATGTATGGCTAGGGGTTAGGGTTTGTGACTCATGTGACCACCATAAGCATATGTGCACATACCACAAGTTGGCCGCTGCAACTGTTTGCCTTATATACCATGTCTGATTTGACCCCACAGTCTCCTGTTCCTCAGTTTCCTCTTTCACTAGAACGTTGGCGGGCTCGCCCGCCCTGAAATCCAGGTTGTAGAGATATAATGTTCAGTTTGAAAATAATTCATGACCATCAAGTAGTTTGCAGAAGGAATCATATTTTGATTGGAACAAACAATAGGGACAAACATTGGTTGACAACAAATGAAGCCAACACACACATGTGTCTTTGGGTACAACTTGAAGTAAAATCATAAATAAAGATTTGAGTCTTATGATGCGCAGATAAAGGTATAAGCCAAAATGCAATCTAAACACAAGTAATAATTCATTTGCATTAGAGGATTTATTCTTACTCTCAAAGTAATTCTTCCTCAATTCAACAAAAAACCTGTTAGCCTCTAGATTTAAGATAACCAAACGAATCTTTCCTTAGACTGAAAAAGACTAACCAGGTTTTGCTAACCACTCTTCAATTTCATTCAAGACAAGCACCCTCTTGTTCCATATGATCATTTTCAAAGGATAAACGTGAGGCACACCCCGCTTTTGATGCTGGTAAAATCGCAATTCGACCTCATCTGTGGACAGCTCAATCACAATGGATACAGAAGTTAATCACAGACAATGTACCTTGCGCATTGTTTGAGCCCAAAATATCAAAGCCCAAGAATGTTACGACACAATGAGCCTCAGAAGTCCCGTCTTGATGAAACCGATACGCTACACTATGCATCAATTTAACATTTTCCTCTATACCATTGTTATTACAGATTTTAACATTGCCAGGGAAGTGAGGAGCTCACAATGAATGGAATCAATATTTAGCCAAAGAGAACAACAAAGAAAATCAACTCACTACAATTGAAATCAAGCTTGATTTCCCTCAGAATCTCATTAGGGCTCCGTTTTCGGGTGGAGCATATAGAAAAACTCGGCTCAATCTAAGAGTAACAGGCATAAGTCAGCGACAGTATAAGAATGGACACTAATGGGATCCACATTGGGCGTCTCGTGTTGAGAGGGTGTTATAGTCCAGGTAAGTGATGACACATCAGGTCTCAGGACTATGTGCGTTTTGGACCAATAGGCTATATTGTAAACGGCTTGAAGGGAAAATTCTTGTCCATCTTGGTATTGTAATATATTTTCCCCTGGAGAGCCTGCGAGATAGTAAATTATAAAGATCAGCAATAGGAAAAGTAGTGAAGATCAACGACTCACATTCTTGGAAGTCTAGGTGTATTTGTTTCAGGGTATTGATAGCTTCAGAGTTGTTGTCTTTCCAAAGGTCATGCAAGACCATACGGTTATAGAGGGCTCCAACAAAGTTATGTTTGAGGGATATAGGAAGGGCCATAACCTGATGAGGTCATGTAAGGTGGGCTGAGTTCAAAAACTATGAAGAGAGGTAGTAATAAGTGCAGGCGTGAATCAAGATTTAATCGAACTGCGGTGAGCTACACGACTTGATTTAAAAACTGAGATGACAATTGGACAGAGATGATCAAGAACAACGAATTCCAAATTATGAATACATATGAATGATATTTTTGATACCTTATGATATATGGATCACAGTAGGGGTGTTGGTGGCGAGATAAGGCTGGAATTGAATCGGAAATTGAGAATAATTTGACACAATACTTCAACACAAGTATAGATACTAAAACAATCAGAGAAAGTTGAGAATACATTGAAATTCAAGGATGTGGATATTGCCTTAGAACGGTAGGCGTTGCTGTTGACTAAATTTAGTCGAATAATTGGTTAGTGTGTTGCTTTTTTGAACGGACCAAAATAGGAAGTAAAGCGGTATGGAAGCACAACTCAAGTATGGTAATTGCATAAGAGGGAGTAGAATCATCTTTACCAATGAGGGTAGCTCAGGCAAGGGGTGGAATTGATATGACATATGTGGGTGGAGGATGAATCACCGGAAACGCCTAACAATGGTGAAAACAAATAGAGCCACAATGTTGAGGTTGTGTATCAATTAACAAAGGATGTAACTGGAGTTGGCTGCCCTAATTATACCAATATCTTTTGCATAATTTATTTTGGATCAAGCAAAAGCATAACAGCTATAAGGCATCATTATTACAGAAAAGGAAAGGCATCAATTATACAAATTATAGTAGGTTGCGAAATGAGTAGATTTAGTACACAACAGGTGGGAAAGAATGATGCGCCGGATGCGGCGAGAAGAAAAATGAACAATGACCGGCGAGTCACAAATGGATATAAATAGAGGGTATTTCGAAAGGAAGATGTTTCTGCTCCTCACGCACTTCACCAGCCTGCCATCATTTCGAAAGATTTGAGGTACCTGAATATGAAGTGTGTCTTGTATGTGTAAGGTTGTAAGACCCTGCCTTTAGGCAAAATGTTGCTTTATGCTCTTATCCTTAAGACATAATGCTGATATTTTGCTTGAAGGGGGGGTTTTATGAATTTACATTTATTTAATTATCACTTTGCCATGTGCATCTCCAAACTCCACATATGGCACCATCCATGGGTTCTACTTATCTTTTATCACCTCTTTGCTCATCAAACACTGATCAAGGACTTGATCCATCCATGGACCTTCCTGTGTAATATTTATTACCGGAAATGCAGTCTGTTTTGGCGTATCAAAAAAACAAATCCAG